TTTAAGATTGAGGTAAGGTCTTGCTTTGTAGGTAGTGTTCTTTGTGTTGCGAAAAAAAAAAAGAAGAAAATAGAAAGAGAGGCGCCACCTCTTGCATCCTCAAAAATACTGGTTTCTACTTTTAGATATATTTCGAAACCTTAGCTCATTTCTAAACCTTAGCGACCTTTATGGACATGATTGTAGCTCCCACTGCGTGCCTACATCTGGCGTCGACATCCGGGAAATCGACCACGTGCTTTTCGAAAGAGACCTAGTTGAATTTGCACGGGCATATTTTGCTACCGTAAAATTGTTGTTATTGGAGACTCTAAACTCGAAGCAGTCGATAAGTTTTATCGTACGTCATGTACATTTTAATTTTGCTCGCTAAGGTGTAATTTCTATTCGTAGAAAACTTGCCTTACTGTCAAATTTAGATGTTTGTTCGGTTCGATTATGGAAACATTTATGGATTATCATTGGAATCTCTGTAAATAAACGGTTTGGGTTTATGCTTTCGAGTGTATTCTTATGTGTTTCTGCGAAATGCGTAATAATAATATATTTTAGTTCAATTACTTCGATAATTATAATTTGTCATCAGCACACACTTACCGATCAAATACCCTAGAAAGTAAAGGCTTTTCTGGTCTTCTTTCCACCTTTCTTTTTGTGCCATATTGCAAATTTTCTTGATACATGCCCCTTTCTGAATGAAAGACTAGCCGATAGTTTTGACCTTTGACCGTGAAATTGAATGTATGTTCTGTCCTTCTTTGAGCTAGCCCATCAATAGGAAGGAAAGCTTGCTCTATCTTTTCTTGTAGATTTCTTCCCTTAAAAACGAAATGAAATCACCAGAAATAGTCAAGCTAATTAGATGTGGCTAGTTTAATTCGTAGTAAATATCTTCTCATAGATCATTTTTTGAGTGCTTATACCGGCTTTGATGTTATATTGTTACTTTTAGTGGAGTTTTTCAAAGCTCTCAATTAGTATTTTATTGGTGACTCAGGAATCGTGACTTAAAATTCAAGAAAATTTTAGAAAGATACACGGGATTAAATACTTTGTATCTTTTAGAAATGTTTTGCGATCACGAGAGCATGTAAACTAGGATTTAAATCCTGAAAGTGACTGCTGGCGATCAGGACGGCGCTAGAAGGAAATCAAAGAACAGAATGATGTGCCTTTATGACCAGGGTATTCTGAGGCAGAGATCAGTTTTTAACACACATTAAAGATAGACTAATTAAATAACAGGACCCATGATACAGTTAACGGTTTGTAAAGTTTACCAAGTGGTCCTTGTCGTACAAACACCAAACGTTGCCATTCTCTTCCCAGTACCATTTGGCAGTTGGTCTTTTCTCGTGAATGTGAGCTGCTAAAGAAGACGAACCAATCAATCTCTCAGTATGTCAGTTTTAGCCAGGTGTCAGTTTCTCAGTCAGTTATTTGGTCGGTCAGTCAGTTAGTCTACCGGGTAAGTTTCAAAAGAAACTGGTGCTGCGTCGATGGGGGAGTATAACGGGGTAACTTTGCTTTTATCAACTGAGTTGATGAACAGATGTAAGTTGGCCACCGTAAAGAGCTTCTAAAGTTTCGAGAGGTAGCCCTTCGTCATGAAAGTTTTGCCTTATCTCTTTGCTTTGCAGCTCCGCAGTTTCTGCAAAAAGCCTACCCCTTTTTTAATTAAATTAATTAGCCCCAAGTCAGTCTATAAGTCTGTCATCTGGGCCTGTCAGTTAGTAACTGAGTCAGACAGTCAGTACCTCTTTCCCACTTAAAATTTCTTCGCTGGTGTTGATTTGAAGCATCGTTGGCTGAAAAAAAGAAACAATAACATTAGAGTTCTGCTGCACAAAAAAAACACAATTTTAAATGGTTTTGTTTGTTAACGGTCTGATATAAAACACGAGCCGCAAAGTTTCAACAGTCATTCGATAATTAATTGAATATCAGCACATCCTACAGTGCACCCATTCTGTACTAATAAATGTTACATTTAATATTTTTTTCACCTTAGTCTATCGATATATCATACGTCTTAACTTTTCCCACCCCATACACAAGGGCATTTAAAATGCGACCTCGGATTCTGGTGTGAAAACGTTTATGGACCCCTCACGGACTTAAATCCCACGGTCAAAATCTGCAAGCTAATTTGGACCCCTTCATCCAAATCCCCTACCTAATTTGAACCCCCCTTCGCAGATTTAGACCCCTACTAAACTTATCTTTTAAGCATCGTTTAAATCATAAAACCCTATCCCTAACCCTAAACCCTAACCTTAAACCCAAACCTTAGACCTTAACCCTCATGCACCACTTTCGCCTGGGACCTTAAGGATGGGTCCAATTCATTATGGTACCATTGGAAATATCATCCTAAAGTGCAGTAATGATCGACATTGAGTAACCATGGCAACCAGTTTACAGCCCGACGACTGTGAAAAAAGGTGCCTATCTGACAAAAAAGATATCTAAAGAACCAGAGGTCCCATTCAGCTGTAAATCGTATCAAAAATG